GAGTATTTTTTAAAAAAATACTCTTTCGGAGAAGGTAGCTAAATTAAACAGATACTACTAGATCTTGTCAATAATGTGGAAGAGACCTTGAAGGTCTGTGGAAGATCTATAGAAGAGAAGTGGGTGGTCAACTTAGGAAGCAGACCACTCAGTGGAGCAGAGATTCACTTAGTATTGGCTGTTGGTTGGTATGGAAAGGAACCTTAGAGATTCCTCCAGATAAGGAAATCAAGATCAGGCATTTGGAAAACAACTAATGCTTATTGTATAGTATGGACTGTATCACTGAATTTCAGAGAAGAGATGTTACATTTGGTGGAAGAATACAGAAGAATGATGAGTGTATAAAAGCTCTCCAGATGGAGAGACCAGAATAATCAAGACAGGATGACTACGATAAGGGACTCTTTCTGTGTCTAAGAAAAAGAGAAGTATGGTTGTTCTTAAAGGTTAGAGAAGAAAATTGTGTTGGAAATTTTATCTGAATACGATAAAGGAGAATTCTCTGATTTTTGGAGGGAAGAAAACCCACATCGAACTTGCAGAAGAAGGAAAACAGAGTGGGAAACCAAATATCCAGCAGTTAGACAATACATTTGACTATCTAAGAGCTGTTTCCCTGCTGCTGTGAATATAGGCAGGAGAGGCAGTCTAGGGAAGATACTAGAAGGCATTTATCTGTCTCCTTCATCCCTTTCCAAGCTACAATAAATATTTGTAAAACTTATGCAGTGTTGTGAAACTGGGTTGCAATTTTCTGAATGGCAATTCTGATGACAACTCAAGTCTCCACACTGTTCATCTCTCCCTTTGCTCCTTTCCTACAATGCACAGCATCAATTATCATCCCTAGGAAAGCCATTTTAGCATCTAGGGTGGAGGAGGAGAGTATTAATCACAATGAAATTTGGCAGAGCATAGTCCTCCCCAGGTCCACTTGAGCCATTTATAGCTTTTATGTCCCTTCTAGACTAGCACAAGTGCATGTACATCAGAATTGTAAAAGAGGGAGGATGCCTATTTGGAAGGCAGTGAGAGCTCAGGACTGGTCTATCTCTGGGTGCATCTCTTTTTGCCTCTGTCTGTCTAAATCAGGCTATCTCAGTGGTCAGAATTATTTTATTCCTCTTTTCAGGAGATACTACTAAGATATTAGTTAGCTTGGAAGTCATGCCCAGAGCATTTAATTGTCTTTAAATTAAAAGACACCAACATAGTTTTAATTCTGACAGATACAGTAGTAGTTAGAGATTCTAGAAGAAGAATGTCAATTCTACATGAAATTGGTAGGCCATGAAATGGACTCAGGGGATTTTTTTTTTTTTTTTTTTTTTTTTGAGAAGGGAAAGGGCACATATTCTTGCCACAACTTTATTTAACATTCAGTATGGGACATGAGGTCAAGACTATGTGTCAAGTGCATGTGATGTACACCCCATGAAGACATCAGGCTCTCCTACTTCTCCCTACTGTCTGGCAGTTAAAACCAAGACATGTCCTTCTATCTTAGACCTGGGAACTGGAAGGGACATTCAAAGTTCATCTATGTAATTTCTTTGCCTTCTGGGAACAGTAAACTGAATCATTCTTTATATATTAGGCGTCTGTGTTTGTAAATTCTGTTTCTCTGGAGGAGTTCACAATTACAATGTGCAGGAATTATTTAGAATCAATTCATCACTATCAGAAATTGTTTGGTGCAATATTTCCCATTTCAGTTCCAGACTCTTTACTTTTCATCCTTTACGAAGAGGTGTACTAGCTGGTTATTTTCTGATAATAAGCCTTCACATTCTTAATCTCTTTTTCCTGAAATATTTGTTCCTGAAGCCATTTCGTATATGTTCTATTTCCCTGTCTTTAAATAATATTAGTATCTGTTGCTTAATACTGAGACTTCCTTCAAGGTAAGTTGCTTTTGTTTAGTTTTGATACCCAAACTGGACTCTAGGAAAACTACTGTCACTCTGACATACAAAGAACAACCATGTAATGAATCCTACAGTCCACAACGTATACTTCCAGAGCCACACAAGCTTTCTGTTCCACAGCATCATGATAGCTGGTGGCCATTTATTGTCTTGTGGTTTTTCTATCAAATTTATATGGAATTGTTCTATCTTTCCCAAGAACTCTCCTTCACCAAATATGTATGTCTTTCTTTCATTTTCTTTGCCAGAGGACATGTGCACTTACTAGAGAGAGACAGAGAGACAGGGGGAAAGCATCTTCCATGAAGCATTATCACACTGTCATGCCTTCTCTACCTCTCCCTCCTTTCAAAATTTTTGTCACACATACACATGCATCCAGAGTGCTTTTCTTGTTTTGTTTGAGAGATTTTTGCTATATAATGCATGTATTCGCCTGAGACATAGAGACAGAGAGAGAAAAAGTGAGAACGATGCATGTATTCGCCTGAGACATAGAGAGAGACAGAGAGAGAAAAAGTGAGAAATCACCTTCCGGAGCAGGGGGTGGCCACACTGCAATTCCTTCTCCATTCTCTTCTTGGGATTTTGGGCATGCATGCCCATTACCTGGCATGACTTTCAAGCTGCCAGGTCCAGGACTCGAACTGGGGTCAATCATATGGGATTCTAGTACCTTAACTACCACGCTACCTGCTGACCTGCATCCACTGTTTTTAAGTCTTTGAGTCTGAAATGTGAACCATGCCAGCCAACTAGATAGAATCTAGCTCTCTTAACCACCAAACCATGCAGTGGCCCCACCAAATATTTCTTTAATGAACTATGACTAAGTGGTTTTAATTGGTTGTTTAATAAGTATGTTGGATCTATTTCTTTTTTAAATTGGGAAATACATGGCAAAAAAGGGTGAATTCAATGAAAAGTTTTCCTCTAATACCTGTGTCAGCCATTCAGTTCCTCACCATTTTCACCTACTTGTTTGTTCATGAAGACAATCCATGTGCATAAAAATAAATACATATGATGTACTTTTGCAGGATCTCACTAGGTTGCAGTGCTCCTGCTTCAGCCTCCCAAGTAGCTGGGTCCACAGACATGTACCACCCAGCCTAGCCACTAAGTGGGCCAGGAATCAAACTGGGCCTCCCACATGGCCTCAATCTCCTGAGTAGCAGTGTACAGTGTGTGCTACCACAGCTTCTACATAATGGACTTCTAATATATTTGGCAGTGTATTTTAACCTCTGTGACTTTTTTTAAAACTTTAATAATATTCCTTGGGGGCCTTTTGCTTTGGTACAAACAACTCTCTTATTCTATTTTACAGCTGCCCAATAGTCTTCTTTTTTTTTGGAGAGGTTTTCGCTATAGGGCGCGTGCACTTGTCAGACAGACAGAGAGAGACATAGAGACAGAAAGCGAGAAATCACCCCCCAGAGGGGATGGTCATGCCGCAATCCTTTCTCCTCCATTCTCCTCTCGAGATCTTGGGCATGCACGTACACGCGCCCGGTGTGAGTTTTAAGCCACCAGGTCCGGGACACAAACCGTGGTCGACTATGTGGGAGTCCAGCGACATAGCCATTACACTAACTGCTGGTTCCCCTAATAGTCTTCTGAATAGATGTACCATAATATATTTATTCCAAACCATTCTCCTTTTTTTGAATTATTTTTATTTAACTTTATTTTATTTTACTTATCGATTTTAATTTGACCAGAGAGGGACAGAGAGGGAGAGAAGGAGAGAGAGAGAGGAGAGAGAGAAAGAGAAAGTGAGAAAGCAAGCCACCAGGTCCAGGACTAGAACCAGTTGGAGCCATGTGGGAGTCCAGTGTCCTTAACCACCACACTACCTGCTGGCCCCCTGTACACCATTATTAATAATAATTTTATTCTTTAAAATATTGTGTAATGGGGTCAGAAAGTAGCATGGTGGTCAAGGCACTGGAGTCCCACATGGACAACTGCTGTTTGAGTCCTGGACCAAGCAGCTTGAAAATCATACTGGGTAAGGGTGCATGCATGCCCCAAATCCCAAGAGGACCATGGAAGAGAAGGAATTGTAGCATGGTCACTTCCCTTGAGGGGTGGGGGAGCAATTTCTCACTTTCCCTCTCTGTCTCTCTCTCCAGTGAGAACATATGCCATGGCAAAAACTAAAATCAAAAACAAAAAAGAAAAATGAAATTGCCTCTACCCTGAAGGTTGTGGTGGACAGGCTATCATACTTCATCTGCATTGTATAACTGTTTGCAGAGTTACTAAGTGTATAGCTCTGTGCTTCATGCCATAAGGAATGCAGAAAGCAGTGGGTTTGGCATCCTCTGCTCCCCAGGAAACTACAGCCTTATGGGGAGTGGGGGAGACAAAGGGATGAGGAGGGCAAGACTGCCAAGTCTATCCTGCTACAGCGTTCCTTTCCATTCTTGCACATCAGACATTCTCTAATACGTGGTGTTTACACTTACTGGATGTGTGTGACTGTGTGTCTGTCTTTTGTGGTTTCTACTGAGAGCTACTAGAGCAGCAGTCTCTAACTCCAGTGCCTACAGGGACTAGGAAGGTGACTTAAATGAATAAAGTGAAATGAAGTGAGCCAACAGAGAGGGCATAGCTATGAAAAGGGAGAAGCCAACTGCTTCTCTGGTCCAAGGGGTTCTTTCCCTGTGGGTTGCTTATCTTCTGACTGATTAAGAATCAATGGGAAACACCTCCATGGGATCTTTCTGCAGTTTCTTACAACTGTGTGTGAATCCAGATTTTTGCAAAAGAAAAAGTTTAATTTTAAAAAAGGCCAGAAACCTGGATCATTGGGCATAATTACTTTATTTATAATTAGGCAAAATGTTAACTTCGCACAGTCCCAGAAAACTCTATAAGCCAGGTGCAGCCGTGGGTCTATCATTCTGCTACCTATGCATAACTGGGTCACTATCATTGGGTTTGTGGAAAGCCCAAGGCAGCCCAATCCACACATTTGCTTTAAAAAATAAATGTTGTTACTAGGAGTTTCCATTGTAGTGGCAACCCCCCTTGACTTGTTGAGTTTTCCTTTCATTCCAGGTCCTTGGATGTGGCACTGTTGCCCAAGCTACTCTCAGTCGGGGACTTTTCGGAGGAATCATCACTATCAATGTTGGATTTGCCATGGCAGTTGTAATGGCCATTTATGTGACTGGGGGTGTCTCTGGTAAGCAGTGGAAATGATAATAGCTATGTTACTATTAACGCAACCATTTCTATGTGCTAGCACAGTGGTGGGTGCTTTACATGCTTCCATTTTAATTTAATTTACTTCCATCTCAACGATGCTGCAGGAATATGTGTTTGGCATGGTGGTTAAGATGCTGGACTCCTACATGGCTGACAACCATGCGAGCAACGGAAGTGATGGCTTTGCTTTCTCACTTTCTCCCTCTGTCTTTCTCTTTCTCTCTCTCTCTCTCTCTCCAGTAAACATGTGTGCCCTATAGCAAATTTAAAAATAATAATAATGATAAATAAAGTTAAATAGATATTTCTTTTTAAAAAGAATATGTATTTGTTCCCATATTTATAAATGATAAAACTAAAATAGCCAAAAAAATTTGAGTCATTTATGCAAAGGCAACATTTAGCAGGAGACAAAGATGGGGGCTAGAACACAGACTGATTAATTCCTAAGTCTGGCCACTGCATTATATTCTTTATCAGTTGGCTTGATCTTTTACTTGCTCTACCTCGCACTTGAAAGCCATTGCCCACATGACTGTGAATAGCTCAGTGAAGGTCACGCCAACAGAGGCATGTCCTGGACCTTTACCCACAGCAATTAGAGAGTCTAGGTCTCTTGCAAAATGAATAGTGCCTTCGTAAAAGTACAGATCTGAGTTAGGAGGTCTTAGTCTAATTCTGCTCTGAGAAGTAGGCTGATCAAAAGCCATTTGCAAGGTTCAGAGAAGCAAAATGAAATGAAGACATTTAAGGTAGTCTGGACACTTAAGAAGGGACGTAGAAACAATCCAGTTACCCAAAGTGCCCCAGATCTTCCAGGAGCCTTATGCCTCTGAGCACTGAGGCAAGATTGTCGGTGATCAGGGTAGAAAGGGAATTAAGCCATCACTTCATGCCGGGCACCGCACAGGTACCGACAGCCTTAATCTTCTTTCTTCTTTTTAACAGCACCGTAAAAAGGGTATTATTGTCTCCATTCTATAAAGAAAATAGGGGCTGAGAGGGATTCAGTAAATTGCTGAATGCCCTGTAGGTGGTCAAGAGACAGAATAAGGATTTGACCCAGGTCTACATGACAGTGAAGCTCATGTTCCCATTCTTATGCAGCATGTGCATTGGTCTATCATGGGAAGGTTATTACAGGCAGAGCCTCTGGGCAGAAGGACCCTAGCAGAGGACCCTGCAGTTAAGCTGGCTGGCCTGGTAACAAGTGCTTCCACTGGAACCCTGAAGAAGGATTGTGCAGATTCCCTGGGAGCCTCTGTGGACTGGGGACCTGGAATGGTCATTCACTGGCTATGCTTTCTATTTTACAGTCAAATTCAAATTCTGGAGCAGACCGGCTTACAGATTCCTATGTATTTGTTATATTTTGCACAAGGACTGTCTCCATCTAAATGCTTATTGAGCTTTTGCTGTGATCTCAGCACTGTGCTTCCTACCTCAAGGCGAATCCCAGGTAGAGCACAGAATAACCAGGGGACCACCTTGAGTGTCCGAGGCTTAAGTACAGTGTAGGTCTGCAGACAGACACAGCACACACTCTTGGACTAGAAAAGGGTATAGGATGCTCCACTGCTGCCCTGACAAACTCCTGCTACATTCACATGAGTAGTTTCTACAAACCATGTGACAGGGATGTGGGCATATTTTCAACCAACTTTTAGACAGTGACATTGTTTTGGAGTATTTTGTCCATATAACACCCAGAACTGAACACCAGCAAGTACTTTCTCAGGATTAATTGGCCTTAGACCCTAACATTCTTCACCATCACAAGGTTGATCTACATCTGTGTTCATGGGTATTCTTGGGGATCCTGGACCCTGGGAAGGAGAGAGGGAGTGAGGAGATAATGTGGACTCTTGTCCTCTGACCCCTGAAGTAGAATAAGCCTCTGTGATCAGAGGGTGAGGGTCAGAACTGATAGGAGTGTTTTTACTAGAGGGTGTTTCCAGGTGAGGGTCAGGGCCTGAACAAATTATTTATGAGAGACTTTGAGACCCCAAAATTCAAACAGAACAGTGTTGGAGACTGGCATTGGGCTGGGAAGGGAGCACTTATTGCCCCATCTCTGTTTGGAACCTAACCCAGTTTAGTGCCCTGCGGACTGGTGGTTTTGGGACATGCAGATAATACACTGGTCTACCATGACATCCACATGAACCATAGCATCGCCATTGGTCTCTAGCACTGCAGAAACAGGAAGAGATCATGTGTGGGAGCTGACCTTCTCATAGTGACTGCAGCTAACACGCTAGTTTGTGGGCACATGTGAGGCTCTGTAAAGATTCCCAAAACAGCAATGTATACTGGGCATAAATATATATATATATGTTCCTATCTTATAGTAACAGTCTGGTTAGGTCAGTGGACACTTGACTTTTAAATATAAAACATCACCTATGGGGACCAGCATTTAGCGTAATGGCTATGTCGTTGAACTCCCATGTAGTTGAACACGGTTCGAGTCCCGGACCTGTTGGCTTACATTCATGTCGGGCATGTGCGTGTGTGTAACCAAGATTCTGAGAGGAGAATGGAGGAGAAGGGATTGTGGTGTGGCCATTCTTCCTGGGGGGTGATTTCTCACTTTTTGTCTCTCTGTCTCTGTCTTTCTGGCGAACACACGCGCCCTATAGCAAAATCCTCTCCATTAAAAAAAAAATCACCTATGGTAATGAAGTTATAGTCTTCAGCTCCCTTGTGAATTGCCAATCAAATACAGTCTATCAGAACTCACCACACCCTAATTATTAAGATCTTGAGCAATGTATTTAGGCTGCCTAGTTTTAGTTGTTTTTGGTGTAGCATTTTATGAGTGAAATAAATTCATTGAAAAAGCAAAATAGCCTTGTGTAATTAATTACAAATAAAATATAAGGTTCTAGCCATCACAGATTTGTCTGTGGGTCGTGGTAAGTAAAGGATTTTCCTAGACTAGAACCTTGAAAGAGTTTTCTCTGCTTTCCTGGGCTTTTATCTTGTGCTTCAGGGCTCCAACTGCATCCCTGGGCTCTTTATCTGAATAATCTGATCATCACGACAAACTTGGCAGAGCCAGAATTTGAGTGCAGGACTCTCTGACTCTCATGTTCTTTCCACTGCACTGCTCCACTTTGTCTTTGTGGTAAGCCAGGGATGACCACTCATCTCTGCAGGAAGAAATTTCTAGTAGCCACTTGACCTCAGTTAAAGGGATCAGAGTGCCACTGGCCTTCCTTTCTGGACCTTACTGCTCTTTCGGACCCTTGCAAAGTACCTTCTTGGCACATTCTCTCTGGTCCCCAAACAACTTTCCCCTTCTTTAGATCACTGTAGTCTGAGCTATCTAAATAAGGCTTCTGATTATTTCTCAAACTTTCTTCTCCTGCACACCTACTGAGTGTCTTATATGGCATGAGGTCAAAATGAATAATATTTCCAGCAGAGTTCCTGTGAGGGACTAAACAGCCTAAACCTACCGTGGGGAAAAGGAACCTCCCATAGGTAGACGCATTGAGTGAAAGTATTTTTGATTGGAGGTGATTTCTTTGCCCTCCTCATCCTTTCGCAATGGTGCCTCTAGGCTGGCTGGGTGGCAGGGCTGTCTCCAAGAACTTCTCATTGTTCTGGTTGACCCCACACTCCCTTCCTAGTGAGCTGCCTTCCTCTAGTCTCTAGTGCTGTGGCTCTCTTGAATTAAAAAATAAAACCCAACAGTTGAAATATTTGTAAAGCTTCAGGAAACCATCTGTGTTTTGTTATATTGGCATTCTCTTGCTCATATTAGTCTCTGAGTGGTAGAAGTAGTTGTGGTTTAGCCAGGAGCCAGAAGCCCCCTGCACTTTGACTTGGAAACTCAGCAAAAACATAACTTTCTGCATGGTTTAGATGGAGAAGGAAGAACAAGCTGGGGACAAGTGCTGCTATTGGTTCTGTGGAGGGTCAAATGACCCAGGATCATCATCATAACATTATCATCATCATCATCTCTGTATGTTTATAACTGTGTCCACAACGCGAAGGTCCACATCTCAGTGTGATCTTATTAACCATGACTCTGATTCTCCCTCCAGAATAAATGTCATGAATATTCCTCAAATACCCTTCTTCCCTAGGAAGTGAGCCCATATGATTTTTTATATGCTTTATTTTTTCTGCTTCCTAAGAGAAACCTTTATAAACATGGTGGGGAAAGTCTAGTGTTTTAACTAGAACACAAGCTCTAGAATTCAGATAAACTTGAATGTGAATTCTGGTTCTATCACTTATTGGTCATGTGACCTTAAGATATTTACTTTCTGTTTGATATAAAGTGGAAGAATATGGCAGATTTAATGCTAAGTGAAGCAAGCCAGACAATGAAAGACACACATTGTATGTCCCTGTTCAATATATATCAAATGTCTGCACTCTGTTGCAGAAACTGAAAGATTAGAAGGTATTGGGTGATCAGAAAAGTCATGACGCATTTTTTCATAGAAAAATACACCATGAGTTTTCAGACAACCCAATATAATTGTAGGGAGGGCAAGTATAGATACTAGAGACAGTATAGGAGAAGATAGATGTTAGAGGATACATAACAGGGGGTGGGAGGGAGGGGATTAGGGAAATAACAAACAACATTTATTAGACACAAAAATGAAAAGTTATCTGCTGATGATGATATATACGATAATGTCTTTGGCCTGACTGATATGCACTGTATTCATGCTGGGAAAAACCATGTTGTACACTATAAAGATGTACAGTGGTTAAATGTAAATAAATTTTAAAAGAAAAAAAATTTACTTACCTTCTCTGTGTCTTGGCTTCTCACCTGTTCTCTTAAGTAGTACCCATCTCATTGGGTTCGTAAGAGGATCAAGTGCAAGTGATACTATTTCAATAATGTCTGACACGTGCTCAATCAATGCTGTTACTAGCAAAGCTAGCTAAGATTTTAGCGATGGACTACAGAGCAAACCCTGTATCTGATCTCGTGGCTAAATGAAATCAAGGCAGCTGATTTCTCTGGCTGTATTTTGAGTTGGAATGAGGGAAATGTTGCTACATTTCTATGAGAGAAACACTCGTTTATGCAGAGGAACTGAGAATTCACTCAGACACTGTGATCACCCCAAAATAAACTAAGCCCTTGACCTCAGGGAGAGGCACAGCCCAGCAACCGAACATCATTTCCTCTTAAAGGGACATCTCTTTTCAGTCCTAAGATTGTTTTTATAGCCCATAGGCATGAACCAAGAAATTGCAAGATATAGACTTAGTCATATATAGATATATAGTGTAATGGCTTCTAAAAGCATATATTGATAAATATAACTTCAAAACAGAATAAGTAACTTGAGCACAAGTTTCTTTCTCTATCTGCCTCCCTTTTCACAAAGATAAACATCCTAAACAATATCTAACGATGCTGTGAGAATTATTAGCCTCCATTCCTTTTACCAACTCTGTTTCTTTCACACACACACATACACACAACTTTCTACCCATATACAGTTCTCTACCTAGAAGACAGAGTTCTGTAAACAGTCTCTAGATAAGGTTTTCTTTATAATAATTCTCCTTTCTGGCCTTCCCTCTGACATCCCTAATCATCTCTTTTTTTGCAGGTGGCCACATCAACCCAGCTGTGACTTTTGCAATGTGTCTCTTTGGACGGATGAAATGGTTCAAATTGCCATTTTATGTGGGAGCACAGTTTTTGGGAGCTTTTGCAGGAGCTGCAACCCTTTTTGGCATTTACTATGGTGAGTGGGGCCTCGGAGTCCAAAGGTTATAGAGAACTGGGCACTATTTGAAAGTCAAAATTTCTTAGTGGGAAGAGGTGAGCTAAAGTGAGAACAGAAAGTGTTCTACCATTGACAGGAAATTCAAAGCTTAAGATAATGAGCTATTAGCAGTACCATTATGGCAAATTCATGAAGCCTCTGATGAAAATAGTCACATCTCAAATTGGAGCAAAACTAACAGGAAGTATATCTTTAGGACTATCCAGCACTGCAATGAGAACATGCATAAAATAAGTGATAGGCCAGTGGCTTCTCCATTGTTTTCTCTGATTTGACTAGGAAAGAAGGTGTTGACTGGTGAAAAAGGGTTTGATTACTAGGTATTTAGGAAGGAATCTGGCAAAATGTCTCTGAAGGAAGAGATACAACAGAGTAATGGGCTGGGTGGGGAGCCGCATCTTCCTTTTTATCAAGTAACCAGAGTTTCTACTTGACAGCAGAAGAAACACAGTGCTGGTGTTCAGGGATCTAGACTTTAGTTATAACCATATCAATGAGTAGCTGTGTGACTTAATAAGGCATCAAACCTGATTGCCCTCTATTTCTTCCTCTGGAAATAAGGGAATTGAACTAAATGACTAAATGACAATTGAACTAATTGAACAAGGCCCTTTAAATTAAAAAAATCTTGGGTTTCCATGATACCAATTGTTCAAGCAGTTCCTCTCATCTAACCCAAAGTAAACCTCAATATATGATGACCATCAAACTGAAGACCTTAGCAGCTAGAACTTTTGAACTAAGCCTTAGAGAAATAAGTTGTGAAAAAAAGTCTTTCTTTAGAGTGTGTTTCTCTGAAATTTAAAGTCTAAGAGGACTAAAGAGGAATTCAAAACCAGACCAGAAGTTCAGTCAGCTGCTGTGGCAAGAGAGACCTGGGCCAGTGCTTGCTGTGTCAGTGGCCATCATCCCCTGGCTCTAAGGGCATCTTTACTACATACTGAGACACCCTCTAGTTCTGGAGTGGTAGTAAGGGTTACTGAGATTCTCAGAATTCTGAATTCTGCCTACATCCGGTCCACTTTGGCTTTGGGGTTGGTTCTGAGAATTTCCCAGGTACAAGACTGGTTCTGCAGACCCCACTGACTAAGGATTTAGTTCATGCTTAGACTGGACTACCTAGGACAGCCAATGGATTTCTACCTTTGAGCTGCCATCTTGGGATTCCCCTGGGTAGTGCTGTAAAGCCAAGAGAGACAAAGCTTATGGGTATACCGAGCTCCACCTGAGTGTTTGACTGTGGTTGTTTAGCACAGCCTGGCATAGGCATCCCTCGACCCTTCCCAGAGAACACTAATGTCCTGGAGCTCTGTTTTCCACAGATGGACTTATGTCCTTTGCTGGTGGAAAACTGCTCATCGTGGGAGAAAACGCAACAGCGCACATTTTTGCAACATACCCAGCTCCATATCTATCTCTGGCGAATGCATTTGCAGATCAAGTAAGTGTAGATTCAACCAAAATCTAACTTTGGTGAAACTGCATGATCTAATATGGGGAACCCTTTGGAGGATAATAGGCCTTTCAGAAAGGAGAGGCTGTGCTTCAAAAGTCAGAGTCACTGGACATAACCCAAGTATTCGTGACATTTTTTTTTTTTTTTTTTTTTTTACCTTTGCAGAAATCGTTACCACTAGGAGAGCTTTCTGCTTCTAGTGGATGACTAGACAGTTGACAAAATATTGGATGACTGGACATTTCAACTCTTGTAGAGGCAAATGGGGTTTGATTCACTATTGTCCTCTTTTATGCACATGTTCTAAGTGTGGAGGCCCCAACAAAAGACATTTCTATCTCAATCCAAGGTCTGCAAAGTGTGTTAGTTGAGCCTGGGGTATCATGGATCCTCTCTGTCTTGCCATGTACATAGGTTTATCCAAAGTCTCATGATAGCAGAAGTTTTAAGTGTCTCTTCCCTATGGACATCTTAACAGAGTTGCTAGCGCCCAAGCATCTATAGGGTAGCCAAAAATAGCATGACTGTTCCAGTCAGTTTGTAGCTGGATCAACACATTCAACAGACTCTTCCTCCATTACTATGTCCCAAGAAGGCTACCAATCATTTTAATCAGGGCAGAGGAAGGAAAAAAGAAAGGGAGGGATGGTCAAAGAAAAGAAGGAAGGACTTCTCTTTCAGAAACTCTAAGTTCTTCTCTTACAGTCAGGACTTACAATACAATACAGTAGGGCAGATCAGAGTGGCATGTGTATAAAACAGAGCTTCCAGTTTACAGCTATGCCCACATTTATTCAGTGAGTGGTTGAAAGACTATGCCCTGATATGCTTAGCCTCTGCCTTACCACTTTGATCAATAAACCAAACAAGCAATGAGTGTTTTAATGGACACTCACCCTGTGATCAGCCTGTGTCTGGAACTTGAAAAACTGATAAGCAAATGTGACTTGTAACCATCCAAAGTTCAGAATCTTGTCGAATTTCACTTATTCCCCCAATTCTTGTCCTCAAGATCTTCACCAAGTGCCTTGGTCACAAGGAAGCTGTTTGATATCTGTCAGAATCTGAGTATCTGAATTAAAAAAGCAGTTCTGCCCTGAGATCTGTATGTAGTTTCAGCAAATTACTGAACCTTTTGGGCCTCAAGTTGTTAGCTTATAAAATGGGAATAATATTAGCCCTCATCAGTTGACTTGTAAGGATAAAAATATATATAAAAAATAAATGCATGTGGCTCCCCCCTCTCTTCCTCCCTTTCTCTCTTCTACCACCATTGTTCTTCTAACAGAATCTTGTTGAATTTCACATATTCCCCCAATTCTTGTCCTCAAGATCTTCACCAAGTGCCTTGGTCACAAGGAAGCTGTTTGATATCTGATCAGTAAGGGTTTACACTCACTATCTCTAAAGCTTTCTTCACTGTGTCCCCTTATCTCAGAGTAAGTTGCTAGTTTCTCTAAGGACTATGGTTTTCAAGCCAGTTATTACATATAGCTAAGTAGAGATAGCAAGACTCTGGTGCTCCAACCATGGTGCTCTGTATTCCTTAAGTTTGGGGGAGTTCAGAAATATGCCAATTGTCAGTCAGTCAACACCCAACACAATTCTTGGCCACCATGACCATATTTCTGAATAATGTTGTCTCAAGATTACTAAATTGTTTAGCTCTAAATATTGCTCAAGAATATCCCATAGTTCAGATAATAATTAATTATTCACTTAGCCAGTGCATTTTTATTGGGAACCTATGAGGCTAAGTATAGCTCCACACTGCTCCTTCTTCAAGGAATTCAGGGTCTGACGCTCATTCTGACAAGGAAACAGATCGTTACTTTCTAGGGCAACAAGGGCAGTGATAGAACTGAAATCAGCATGCACAGAGACCCAGAGACTGGCGCTTTTACACCATCTGGGAAAGTTGGGAAAGGTTTCCAGAGAAGGATGCTCTTGGGAGAACATGTCCTTTTGAATTATTTTAATATAATTATTTTGGAAAACAGATGAAATGAGTAAGAGCTTAAACTCTAACATTAGTTGTTTTGTTTCCATCCTGTTTCTTCCACTTATGAGCCATATACCCTTGGACAAGTACCTTAACTTCTTTCTACTCAGGTTTCTTCATCTATAGATAGACAATAATAGCAGGATTTACCTTAATGATTATTATAAAGTTTGAATAAGTAATGTGTATGAGGTACCATATTTCACATAATAAGTGTTCATTAAATAGTAATTTTTTTTATTTAGCCATTAAAGTAAAATAATAGTTAAGAAAATAGAGAGTGGGGAAAATACCAGCCATGTACGGTCTTTAAAAAGTTTATGGAAAATAGGGACCAGTAGTTAGCATAATGGCTATGTCACTGGACTCCCATGTAGTCGACCACAGTTTGAGTCCCGAACCCAGTGGCTTAATCTCACGCCGGGCACATGTGAAGAGGTTTTTGCTACAGGGCGCGTGCACTCACCAGACAGACAGAGAGACAGAAAGCGAGAAATCACCCCCCAGGGAGGATGGCCACGCCACAATCCCTTCTCCTCCATTCTCCTCCCGGGATCTTGGGCATGCACACACATGCACCCAGTGTGAGTTTTAAGCCACTGGGTCTGGGATGTGAACCGTGGTTGACTACATGGGAGTCCAGCGACATAGCCATTACACTAACTGCTGGTCCCCAAATCCCCATTTCATCATCCAATAGCTTTTCATTATTTTTCCCGATTATTATTATTATTCCGATTATTTTTTTAAACAATCAATCACTATTTCTCATTTTGCTTGTAAAAAGACTTTACCCAACATGAAATACTTTTCAGACCAATCCAGTTGAGAATATTATACACGTTCATCATCAACAAGTAATAAACCATATCTGTGTCCTACCTATGTAAGACTACAAACATATTTGAAAATTTTTGCAACAAAATAAACTCATACTTCAATTTCATTTTCCATGAACTCTTTGATGTCCCCACCTGTAACCCACTACTTTAGATTATCTGTCATTTTTGGATATTCTCTTAGGATTTTTCCTTTCATATATGTTTTTTAAAATGTCATAAGTACTTTTTAGTGTTACCATGTAGCTTTTATATTTGCAGTTTTTAATGGCTATATAATAGACTATAAGGTGGACATCCCATAATACTGTAGCTCTTGCTTTATGGTGTGTACTTGGGTGGCATCCACTTTTTCAGTACTATAAATAATGCTTAAATAAACATATCCATTTTACATTACTCCATGTTTAGTATGTCCATGGTATAATTCCCAAATATTCAACAGCAGCAAATGGTATGAGTAAATGTGTTTTAAAATGTGTATTGATAAATTATTGATAAATTTCTTTTCAAAGTGTAGTTTGTATTTAGTTCTATTAGAAAAGTGTGGAAGAACTGGTATTGTTTCCCTAATATTTAGTATTGTTTGTGTTTCTTTTATTGTGATTTATGTTTTCCTCATTCTATTTGTGTGTGCGTGTGAGAGAATTTTTGTTCATTTCCTTTGCACACTTAGCTATTGATATCTCGAGTTGTTTTTCTCACAAATGTAAGCAAACCCTTCATCCATTTCTCCCACCTGCAGCTTGCCTTTCTAGTTAGCTGAGTAGTAGCTTAGTAGGATATTGTAGTTGCTCAGGTAACAGTCTCTATTGTTAAACTCTCTGGATCCAAACCTGACTGTCTTACTAAGTGTGACCTTGGCCAGGTAACTGATGTGTAAATTAGGACTGCATTAGCATCTGCCCCTAAGACTGCTGTGAACAGAAGAGCAGGGTACTCATCCAGTGTGTGTAGCTCTCACTAGGTTTGTTGCAATAGCAGGGGTAAATTTGGGGTGGGCAAGTGAGCAGAATACAGGCTAACTCTGTCCACATTTTCTTCCTTTCTAGGTGGTGTCCACCATGTTCCTCCTAATGATTGTCTTTGCCATTTTTGACTCCAGAAACCTGGGCGTCCCCAAAGGCCTAGAGCCCATTGTCATAGGACTCCTGATTATTGTCATTGCTTCCTCTTTGGGACTGAACAGTGGCTGTGCCATGAACCCAGCTAGAGACCTGAGTCCCAGATTTTTCACGGCTTTGGCAGGTTGGGGATTTGAGGTCTTCAGGTAAGTAACAAGGTGGGGAAGAGAGAGAAAGATTCATGCTGTGCCTTATCAGGGAGGGCTTGGAGACCCAGTAGAGAGTTCAGAGGACAGAGCAGAAGTTAAGTACATACTCTAGTCATAACTGTGCAACTTGTCACTAGTGTTTTGTGGCATGATGTTTGTGTATGTGTGAGAGACAGAGAGATACAGAGAAAGAAAGAGAAGGGGAGTCTCTAGTAAATGCAAAAGAGAGAGACCTATTCCATATCATATACTATAATAATAATATCTCAATTGGTATATGATTTTATGTGAACAGTTTGGTTATATAATGTCCTTGATTCACTTTGTGACAAAGTTGGGACTGGAATTTATATCTTTGATTCTGCTGGAGGGCTCTTTCATATGAATCTTGCTACCTACACTTCCCTCAGCCCACAGAGCTTACTGAATACTATCTATTCTGTGGTCACTGAGCTAGGCAAGAAGATTTCAGAATTGGCAAAGACACTGGCCTTGGGTAACACAGTAAATGCTCTGCTCTGACAACCCCTAAAAGCACTGAGGGAACACAGATAAAGGAGTGACTAACTCTACGAGGAAGTCATAAAAAGCATGACTAAAGAAATGACAGCCAAGCTACATCTTGAGCTATGAGTAAGAAATTTCTGACAGGACAGACATAAAAAAGAGCCTGTGCCCAGGAAATGGCAAACCACGTGCTTTCTAATTCAGAATATGCTGAGAAAATATGCCAATGGCCAGTACCAATCTTCTCGGACAAATGTAGTTCATTAGCTCCTTCCACTTTTTCCCCATAAAACCATAGAGATGAGTTGATTCCCAGCAGCTCTCTGAAGGAAAGGAACTAAACTTCAGTTCATCATAAAATAGGGTTCAAACATGGAGAAAGGGCGATACGAGAAACACATGTGAGCAAACTCTAGTTAATGTTTGCTGTGATAAAAAGTGCTTGTGTGTCCCTAAATGCTGACCTATATATGTGGCCATATGCATGTCATAACTTTATTTTCCAGCAACATGGAAAATGAGCTGTTAAAATAATTGATAACCATTTGGATCACCACCACATAATATGTAGTAAAGTGCTTTTAGAGAGTATCATTTGGAGATAGATAGATTTTTCCCTGATGTAATCACAGTGCCTAGAACAGAACTGTCTTATAGGAAGTCTTGACTAAGGGACCATCTGACGGTGTAACAGTTCTATCACTGGACTCCCACATGGCTGACTTCAGTTTGAGTCTTGGACCCAGTGGCTTGAAACTCACGCCTGGTGCCTTCACGTGCATGCCCAAAATCCCAAAAGAGGAATGAACGAAGAGGGATTGTGGCATGGCCATTCCTTTAGGGATGGTTTCTCACTTTCTGTCTCTCCAGCAAGCATATACACCCTACAGCAAAAATCTCTCTCTAATTTTTTTTAAAAGGCTTGATTAAAAAGTTATTGATATAGGAATTAATACATGCTGTGTGGAAGACATCACCTAGGAGCTGAAGGATACAAAGAGAATCAAGCAACATTCCCTATCCTCAAGAAACTTGCAATTTGAGAACAGTGGTTCTCAAGAAGAGGTCTGCAATTTTGCCCCAAAGACATTTGGCAACATGTAGAGACACTTTTGATTATCGCAACTAGGAGTGGGGAGGGGAGATTGCTCCTGGCATTTGGTGGGTAGAAGCTGGGGATTCGCTAAGCATTCTACAATGCACAGGACAGATTCCCACAACAAATAATTCTTATTCCCAAAATGTTAATGGTGCTGTGGTTGAGAAACTCAGACTGTTCTAGAATGATTACAATTAGACCACAAAAAGATCCCCAACAGGGAAGGAGCCCTCATACTCTTCCAATAGACCATCAAAAACATGTGCCCTAAAGACCTCTTTATTCCCAGAACACGGACTTAGTCCATGAGTTTCTTTTCTTTTTTTCATTTTTTCTGAAGAATTATTTATTTTATTTATTTATTATTATTAATTTTTAACATGCTATAGTCGTCAGAGAGAGAGAGAGAGAGAAGGGGAATGTGAGAAAGCTGTCAAGTCCAGGACTCCAACCATTGTTGGCTATGTGGAAGTCCTGTGCCCCAACCACCAACACCACCTGTTGGCCTCTCCTTTTTAAAAAAATTTTATGATTTTTTTATTCACATTTAATTTAATGGTTGTACATCTGTATGGCACACACTATAGTTTTTCGAAGAATGCATGTACAACAGTACAATGACAATCAAATCAAGGATATTACCATAGCTGTCATTTTCAATGGAGCACTTTACATTCTTATGTCTGCTAAGTATTTATGAGTTTCCTTTAATCCCACCTTATAGACCCTTGCCCTCAGGGACCATGCTCCATTCTTCTTCCCTGAGCCCTCCGTGGTGATTCATCCAGGTTCTAAAAGTCATTGTGGTTCCCAAACATGCAGAGCCCCCACCTGATTTCTGTTTGCTTTGCTTTGTTAAGTATACCTTAGGAGAACTATGTCTGAGGGAACGTGCTGGAACCACTGCCAAACTCTGAGCTTGACGTCCCCTGTTAGCAACAGGGTCTTTTCTCTTCACACATTCATTCATTCATTCATTCATTCATTCATTTATTTATTTATTTATTTATTTATTGGAGAGGTTTTTGCTATAGGGAGCGTGCGCTTGCCAGACAGACAGAGACAGAGAGACAGAAAGCGAGAAATCACCCCCAGGGGGGATGGCTACGCTGCAATCCCTTCTCCTCCATCCTCCTCTCGGGATCTTGGGCACGCACACAAGCACACGTGCCTGGCGTGATTTTAAGCCACTGGGTCTGGGACACGGACCGTGGTCGACTATATGGGAGTCCAGCAATATAGCCATTTCGCTAACTGCTGGTCCTCACACATTTATTTAATGCAGCTTTAATTCAAGGCCCTGTTCTAAAGACAGAAGATCCAGTTGCTGTTCCTCACTCTTTTATGTATATTCAACATAAACGGTTATAACATGGGCTCTTACACAAGAGTGAGCTGTCAAGTGCCATTAAAGTGGTTTCACTGATTAACACCTGAAGTTGAGAGGTTTATAGCTCCAAATTTAGTAGTCATGGGGGCGGGGGATATGCTTAAACAGGAAACAGAGAGGACATCTCAGGCAGCGAGCACTCTATTCAAAGACAGAATGTTAAAATGACAAGTGATCCAGTCTAGCTAGAAGGGTGCATGAAAAAAGATTTCAAAAGTCAGTGACCGAATCTTTAAGGACATGGACTCCCAGAATGCAGATTTAGGGTTTTTCTGCTTCCTCTTCTGTAGGTTATAGGGAGGAACAAAGAATTTGAGGCAGAATTTGGCATGTTTAGAACATCGATTCAGTAAAATTAATCTGGCATCATCCAATAAGATGGATTAAAAGTAGAGAGCAGAGGAGTAGAAACCCATTGTGTAGGAGCTGAGTTGGCTGGTAATCCTCACCCAAAAAAGTCCTCCAGAAAACCCTGGAGAGATAATAGGCCTCTGAAGCATCCTTAGCATGGATCATCCCTCAGAGCTCTCTGTCTGAGATAAACATGCAGCTTGGCCCCATCCCCGAGGTCTCAGATGAAGTAAGAGTGCCCTGTTCTTAGGTTCTCACTTGCCCCTGACTGGCAAGCAGTGGATGATGGCAGGGAGAATGGGAATGGGGTACCAGAACGTCCAACCAGGGCAAACTCAATAGAAGTTGGCTGACTCTTGCTTTTCCTTTAACGATTAGTATGTTTTTCATCAAGGTCTTTTTACTAGTTCATATTGGGATACTAATGACTTAATGGGTAAAAGCTCTCTGGAGTATCATTAATTTAAAAAAAATAGTTTACCTAAAGCAAGAAACCCCTCAAGATAGTCCTTTATACAATGAACAGACATGTTCCTGGCATTCTCCAAATCATAATGTGCAAATGATCACTGCCCTGTGCACATGTAAGACCAGGCCAGGCAAGTAACCACACCTGAGCTGCCCCCTTTATGACCTGTGATCCTGGCACAGCACATCCAGCCTGACAGAAGGAACAGGGTCCAGCCAGTGAAAGGAGGACTTGTACCCTGGCAGATACCTGGCAACATAATCCAAATGACAGAGCACAACTGGCCACAAAAGTCAATGATGGATCATAAATGGCAGCTTATACTCACAGAAGGTACTGACTGCAGGGAGCAGTTCTGGTTCTAGTTTACCTAAAGCAATAAATCCCTCAAGATAGTCCTTTATACAATGAACAGACATGTTCCTGGCATTCTCCAAATCATAATGTGCAAATGATCACTGCCCTGTGCACATGTAAGACCAGGCCAGGCAAGTAACCACACCTGAGCTGCCCCCTTTATGACCTGTGATCCTGGCACAGCACATCCAGCCTGACAGAAGGAACAGGGTCCAGCCAGTGAAAGGAGGACTTGTACCCTGGCAGATACCTGGCAACATAATCCAAATGACAGAGCACAACTGGCCACAAAAGTCAATGATGGATCATAAATGGCAGCTTATACTCACAGAAGGTACTGACTGCAGGGAGCAGTTCTGGTTCTTCAAAGCCAGGCGAGAGAAAGAGCCACCCTCCAGATTCCTCTGATAGATGGGCCGCCCACCATGCTTCTCAGAGAAAAGTCCACCCCAATTTGGGGACATGAGAAAGGGCATGGTGAGAGCAGCAGACCACCTCATCCTCCCTCCCATGCAGTAAGAGTGACATCTGGTGGCTGCTGGGCTCACTTCCAGTGAGCCGGCACTGAGCCTGCATGGGTGACTGAAGACTTAAGAGAGGACTCAGATGCTCCACGTGGAAGGGACCATGTGGATGAAGAAACTAGAGTTTGGAGAGTAGAATGACTTGCTCAAAGACCTTGTAAATAGTCCTGAGATTGGAACTTGGTCTCTTGGGTTCTAGGACAAGGCTCTTGTTTTCTGCTTATTTTTCTTTATTATCAATTCTTTTTCTTTTTCTTTCTTGCTTTCTCTCTCTTTCTTTCCTTTTCTTTCTCTTTCCTTTCCTTTTCTCTTTCATTTTTTCCTTTTCTTTTATTTTAAAAATTGGCCAGAGTGAGTGTGTACTTGCCAGAAAAAGAAAGGGAGAGGGAGAAAGCACTCCTCAATGGAGTACGGTCATTCCCTACTCCCTTCTTCTCCATTTTTCCATCTTGTTGGGATTTGGGGAACACACAGGTTATCTGAATGTTTTTCAAGCCACTGAGGCCACCAGAAAATTAATTAAACATACATGTCACTGAAGCCACCAGGAAATTATCTGGGCTGATCCCTTCAATGAGTTTGGGATATAAACAGGGAAATTGACCAAATAGGATCTCGAGCACACTGCCATGGGGCCAGCTCGCTTTAATTATCCTTTCTAATCAAAATTCAATATAAACAAAAAGGCCGCATGGAATATATGTGTAATTATTAAGCAGAATGAGGAGAAGAAAAGCTATGAATGCTTTTATAATCCAGTTGGAACACTGCAAAATCCTCCCATATAGCTGTGTGGTCTGTTTTTCCTTCCTTCCCCACATTATGCTGAACTTTTGTATTTTACCATAAAATATGCTATCTCAAGTGTATATACCCATCCTTAAGCAATATGTAGTGTAGTTTTGTTTGCTTCTGAGCATTCATGTTCCTTTCTAAGAGGTTATTTAGATAGATTTCCTCTCTCCCAAAAGGATAGTGACAACTCACAAAGACACCTGCTTTTCTGTAGCTTTACTATGGAGTGCTGACTTTGAGGACTTCTGGAAGAGAGTGAGCATCACAGCCCAAAAGCCATATCAGAGAGTAACTTTAAGCTTGAATCTCAGATAATAAGCACTGACTTAAGTTATATTTAGTAGGCAATTCACATATCCATCTTATTTTTTTTAATTCATTCACTCATTAAGAAACGTTTTCCGAGTGCTATTTTGATTGCCCTCATAGCCTAATGATGACTAGAAATATCTCCACTTTTTGAGCAACTCCTTTTCATTCTTAATCCCATGGCCTCATTATTTCAGGATAAGAGAAAGGCAGTTCCTGAATAATTCACCTGAACTATCCTTAGAGGCCCTCAGTCTTGACCATGTACTCAGGCACTATATGTATTAGGCTGTAGGAAAAATTTTGACATGTTTTTCTATGAAACAACCCAATCTTTTCAAAAATGAAAATAAACAGAGCATAATCACTCATGAGTATTAATAGAACAATGGTGGAACAGGTTATACGCTGGAAAATCTAGGATGAGCCTGCTATGGTACAGTGAGTATCCATAAACTTAACTCTTAATGAGTTAAAAGAGAGCCTTGAGCATAAGAAAGACAAGTTGGCTAGTAAAAACTGGTCAGTAATACCAGAAGGAAGGCTAAAAAAAATGTATCATTAATTTCTTGCTTGATTTCAGAGTTGGGAATAATTTCTGGTGGATCCCTGTAGTTGGCCCTTTGGTTGGTGCTGCCATTGGAGGCCTCATCTATGTACTGGCCATTGAAATCCATCACCCAGACCCGGACCCAGATTTCAGTGAAGAACAATCCGAGGACAAACCAGAGAAATATGAACTTAGTGTTATAATGTAGTGGCATGCTCAGTTCTGGATTTCCAATTGGTTTGGGCATTCTCTTCAGGAATTATGGCATCCAATTACCTACTTTTTAAGACTATGGTGGAATCCACCCAATTTTCTCTGCGAGCCAAGTGGGACACATAATTAGAAAAGTGTCTGAGTGAAGATTTGGAAACACAGACCTCTTCTCAACCATTTTGGCCACCTGGCACCCCCAAAACAGCACTGACTGTCCTCTGAAACAGCCTTCTCTACAGCAATGTTTATTTCATCCTTGACAGGAATCCTTATTACTAGGTGAGCACCTTGGTCATAGACTTACTTAGATTGTCTCAGCTGTATTACCATTATGAAATCATGTCACCAAAATCCTTGACTTCAATAGCTACAGATGTTACATTGTGAGTATCAACCAAAACTTAAACTGAAAGACAAAACAGTGATTTTAGTTAACATATTCATGAATTAGCAAACTAATGGATGGACTTTGTAAGAATGTCATGCAGCTGTATGCTTTATAAATACTGATTTTTTTTAAACTTTCAATGCAGAAAGCTGTAGAATGCAACTGGAAATCATGGGGAAAGACATTGTGGCGTTCAGAAACCTCAGGAGACAAGATAAATTTGGGAAACCAAATGGAATTTTGTTAATGGAAACCATTTATCAGATAATTCTCTTGCTCTTCTGCATTTTAGAGGGCACCAATTAATTTCCTGGTCTTTAGTATATAATAACCTAAAATACAATTGTAACCTCAGTCATAAAAAATACATCACTCTGTCTCTTTAGTGCAAATGTATTTTCCTAATTACACACTTGAGGACAGACATTTGATGAGTTAAATCAGTGGCTGCACTCATCCATTACTCTACACATCCCCTAGAAGCCAGGACTGAAAGCCATTGGATCCTGATCTAGTCAGATCTTCAGGGCAGAAGGTCTGTGGAAAGGTAATATTACCTTATTGAACTTTACAATTCACAAAGCACTTTAGTATACATTGTCTAATTTAATTCTGTAGCAACTATCTGAGGTAAATACCATCTGACCATTGACAATGTTGACAATGTTCAGATAAAGAAACAAAATCTCAGGGAAGTTAAGCAAGTTATCCAAGTTCACATAGAAAGTTGAACATTTTCTAAGGAATCCTCAACCTTTCAGATCACTAACTGGATGAGAACTGTCAACTCCTCCTGGCTGGCCAGAAAAGTGGAATTGGCAATACAAATACACATGTACATGTATACACACACACACACACACACACACACACACACACACACACACACACACACACACACACACACATACATATTCTAGCCATACCATTTCTGATCTTAAGATATAAAGACCCTAGTTGTTTGGTTTTATCCTCACTGTTACTGAGTGCTAATGAAGAAAAGAGGTAGCAATTTGATCATAGCTTTCATTTGCTGAGAAACATTATCAGAAGACCTCCCTTCCTGAGCCTCCCCCTAATCCAATCTTCCTTCCCAGACAGCCTTAAACATTACATTCACAGGTTTTCCTCTTCTAACTCTTCCCTTTGAAGTTCTCTGACATTACTTTAGACAAGCGTGACTGCAGTTACAAACACTGGGGACTTGCTCTACATCAAGGGATGCACCCTCAGTCAAACTGTTAAAAAGCCTAGCATTCCCAGAGGCAACCAGTTTCCCAAATGCTTCATGGTAACAGAACAACAAAAAGAAACTGTGCACTATCTCTGATGGCCTGTGTTCTACAACCTATGGACATATAGAGTTTCTTCTTATTCTGAAATTACCTGGATACTTCCTATTTGAAATAAAATTGCTGGATTGTTGCTGGGGATTTTGTCATTATTTTTGTGTTGAGAATGCTAAGTACACTTAGTTCAGAGGTTGTCTATCCTGTCTACAAAATTGAATCTCCTGGAAAGTTTATTTTTTATTTATTTTATTTATTCATTCATTCATTTTAATTTGACCAGATTGAGATGTATATAGATAGAAAGTGAGAAAGCAAACCACCAGGTCTGGGACTCGAACCATGGTTGCCCATGTGGTAGTGTCCAGCGCCTTAACCACTACACCACCTGCTGGTCCCCAAGAGCTTTAAAAAAAATTAAAGAAAGAAAGAAAAAAAAATGAAAAGCCCAATTGGTCCTTTGTACATTCTTTAGGAGATCCCAATATCCAGCAAAGTTTGAGAATGTTGATTTGGTCAAATCATCTATGTCTAAGTTTCCTTTGAAAACTGTGTCTAATAGTAGTCAGGTAATTCCTAGTAGGATACTCAGGAGTCTTGGGACCTTCAGAAATTAGAGCAGTGTTTCCAACAGGGGACAGTTTCCTCTCTCCTCCTCCCCCTCCTCTTCCTCTCTGTTCCTCAAGGGAAAAATTGACAATGTCCAGAAGCATTTATGGTTGTCAAACTGAGGAGGGAGTGCCATTGCATCTAGTGGCTAGAGGCAAGAGATTCTGTGAAATATGCAATGCAAGGACAACCCACCCAATAAAGAATTACGTGGTCCAAAATGTCAACAGTGTTGATGTTGAGAGATCCTGGAGGTGAGAAAAAGCAAGGAGAGGTGTGAAAGAAGACATCAGAACTCTGTACCGAATTCAGGTTCTGAAAAGAACAGAGGTATCAACCAAACTGGGAACTGGGAACAAGCCCTGGGAATGGATTATAATTCTTAGAGCAAGGAGCAACCTAAATTTTGAGTTTTCAGAATGGATTATGGAATCTGTGATCCATATAGGTGCTCATTAAGCACTACTTCATGATTATTGATTAGGATTATGAAAAGCAAATGTACACTGATGGAAATCAGCCCCTAGGAAAGTTTTGTTTTGTTTTGTTTTGTTTTGTTTTTTTGTGTGTTGTTGTTGGTTTTTTTTGTGTGTGAAAAAAAGTCTTCTTGTTCCAGTTGCTCACTTTCAAATCCTCTCCCCTCCCCTAAACTGCTAAGTAAGTGGATTTTGCCTTTGTCAGGTTATTACCTATGAGAATGCTCGAACTATCTATATCATAAGTCATTTGGATAGGAAAGAAATGAACCTCTTTCTTGTTGCTGGAAATGGAGCACCTCTTATTTAAGAGGATGGTGGATTAATGAGAGGAGGGCACATATAAACTGAACATAAGTAGGTCAACTGAATTATCTGGGAGACTCCACGGAACCAGATGTGAATGGAGTTTCTCACAGGCACAGTCTGACTCTTCTTCTGACAGGGCTACCTTACATTTTTCATAGACTTTAAGTACTTTTACCTTTGTGAACCTCTTCACCCACCAAATATTAACTAATTAAAATAAATTGTTTTATGACTTCACTGGTGACCAGATGTATTATATTCTGTCTTTCTCTATTTGATGTTAGGAGAGAGAGAAACATTTTCCTGAGCTCTTGAAAGTACTGTTGGGTTCTGGGTGTCGAGCCTGATAAGGAAGTCAATCCACTGTCTCTAACACCCCCCCTGGTATCCCAGTGACCAGTCACATCTCAGCTTCTTCCTCCTGGGCCCTTTACACTCTCAGGAGGTAGTACTGAAGCTTTAGGACTCCTGGAGACTGAGGGACACCCCAGAGGTCCAGGTTATGCCCCTCTCCCTTTGTCCCTCTCAGGCATCCAGTGAGAGGGTTTTCCTGGCCTCCTGCAAAGGAAACTGGAGTGTCCTGTGGCCTGAATGCCAGTGTTTGGGGGATCCTGCAATGTATTAACAACACTTAATTCTAATGTAATGTCTCACAGTTTGCGAAGCATGTTCACATCCAGTCTCTAAGACTCTCAGACCAGCCCAGCAAATACAGTATCCCATCTGGAGATGAGGAAATGGAGGCTCCTAGGTGCTAAATGATTTGCACAAACTCCAGAGGAAGAGTATGCCAGCCACATGTCTGAGGAGGGGTACCACTTGTCCCATTTTGCCTGGGACTCAAGAATTTTTTCTGGGACGTGAGATTCAGTGCTAAATTCCTTCTTTTCTTCTTCTTCTTCTTCTTCTTCTTCTTCTTCGAGAGAGAGAGAGATTTTTTAGCTATAGGGCATATGTGCTCACTGGAGAGACAGAGAGATAGAAAGCTAGAAATCACCCTCCAGGGAAAATGACCATGCTGCATCCCCTCTTCTCCATTCTCCTCTCAGAATTTTGGGCATGTATACATATGCACCTGGTGTGAGTTTTAAGCTGCCAGGTCAAGGACTCAAACTGTGGTCAACTGCATGGGAGTCCAGTGACATAACCATTATGCCAGCTGCTGAGCCCTCTTCTTTTCTTTTTTCTTTTTTTTGGAGAGGTTTTCGCTATAGGGTGTGTGCGCTCACCAGACAGACAGAGAGAGACATAGAGACAGAAAGCGAGAAATCGCCCCCCAGGAGGGATGGTCACGCCACAATCCCTTCTCCTCCATTCTCCTCTCGGGATCTTGGGTACACACGCACACGCGCCTGGTGTGAGTTCTAAGCCACCAGGTCCAGGATTCGAACCACGGTCGACTACGTGGGAGTCCAGCGACATAGCCATTACGCCAACTGCTGGTTCCCTTCTTCTTTTCTTAATTTGCCAGAAGGTTTGTACACTCCCCAGAGAGAGAGAAAAGAAAAGAGAGAAAAGTACCCCCAAAGGAGAACAGTCATGCTGCAACCCCTTCTCCTCCATTCTCCATCCTGTTGGGATTTGGGGCACACACGAGTTCCCTGCATGCCTTTCAAGCTGTCAGGGTTAGGATTTGAACTGCAGTCAACAGTTTGAGCTGCAGGCTTCCCTAACCTTTAGGCTATAGGATGGCTGGGATTTAGTGCCAAAATGTAGATAAGTTGGCCCCTCAGCCTGTACCACTAACGAGCCTCCTCCTAACTAATGATCTCCCTTAGGCTTCTGGTCCTCCAGCAGATAAAGTGGTCTTTGATTAATTTGAGGGAAATTTCTTCATTTTTAACTTCAATTATAAATGTGAATAAATGTTTTATGAAAAACACTGTAGTTAAGAGCACAGGCTATTAATGAAATTTAGTCAGCTTTACTTTCTATATACCCCAAATCTGTTCTCTTCTCACCCATAGCCCTAGACCATACGACTGCTATTTCTCTCCTGAGTCATAGAAGAACCTCCTGACTGGCCTCCCTATTTTTCTGCATAAATGCCTGCAGCCTTTAATCAACACAGCAATGTGTGTGATCTTTAGATAAAAGATTAAATGGCCTTCAAAGTGTCCTATTCTCTGAACTTCTACTACTGTCCTCCTAATCTGTCCTTTCTGCTTTTAGGCCTTTATCCTGATCCTTAAAACCACCAAGCAAACCCCTGCCACAGGGCCTTTGCACTTGATGTTTCTATTGCTTGAAATTCCCTACCTTCAGATCTCTGTTCAAATGTTACTTTGAGGCCCAGCCTTGGTGGCAAAGTCAGTGGCATGCTGAACTGCAGTGCTGAAGTCACATGACCAGGGGCCAGATTCAGATCTCCAGCCAAGTCGACCCCCAAATGCCAAGTAAGCAGGTCCAGGGTCTTGATAAGCTAGAAGGCTAAAAACAGAAATCACAGCATGACCAGATTCTGTTGCGGCTGAAAACTAACACTGAATTTTTAAGTTCTTGAGAGATGGTTCCTGAAAGCATGGCCATTTTCCTTGGGGGGGGGGCAGGGTGATTTCTAGCTTTCTGTCTCTCAAGGATCAGGATAAAGACCTATGTGAAAATTATTCAGTTACAGAGGACATGAAAGTTTATAGCCAAATTCCTCTGAGAGGCTGACCCATGTAGGAAGGTTTGAGGTTCTCATGGAGGCCTCCGTGAACACTCTAGGTACACACATGATCATGACCCATGGCTGGCTGATGCTGAGGGTGGATTATGATGAGAAGACCCTGTTAGGGATGCCTGTCTCTCTGTCTCTGTCTCTCTCACTCATGCAAGAAATAAACAAAAAATCTGTAAAAAGTTAAAAAAAAAAAAGATAAGGATTCCAGTGAGACTTCCATTTAACTATGGCACATCACAATGTAGCACTCTATCTTAGGTTTAGATCTTTGATCCACTTTGAGTTGGTTTTTGTTACTGGTGAAAAAATAGTACTGGAGACGGTGTGAGAAGAGGATGGGGATGGGGAGAGTGAGAGGAAAGCATCATACATGTTATCATCAACAGACAATCCTCTATTTCTGTGTCCCTTAAACGTTTTGCCTAATTTTCTCCTTGATTCCTTTCCTCTCACTCTCCCCCATCCCTCATCTTCTTCCCATGCTGTCTCCAGTATCCATAACCATTTTCCATGTTTCTATATCCTCTAATCTTTCAGTTTCTGCCATAGAGTGTGAACAATTGGTATATATTAAGTGGAGATATGTAATGTCTATCTTTCATAGCCTGGCTTACTTCATACAAGCAACAAATCTTCTGTATTTGTCCACTTTCTATCAAACACCAGGGCCTTGTTTTTTATGGCTGAGTAGTATTCCATGGAGTATATGTGCCACACTTTTTCAATCCATTCATCTGTTTGTGGACAATTGGGTTGGTTCCATGTCTTAGTAACTGAATAATTCTGCAATAAATATAGATGTACAAGCACTTTTCCAACTGAGCATTCTCCCATCCTTTAGAGACCAGGAGTGGAATTGGTGGATCATGTAGTAGTTCTATTTTTAGATCTTTGAGGAACTTCCATATTGATCTTCACAGTGACCTTGCTAATTTATATTCCCACCAATGGTGTAGGAGAGTTCCCTTTCACCACAGCCTTGTCAGCACTTACTTTTTTTTTTTTTTTTAATCTTAGCCATTCTGACTGTGGTTAGGTGGTATCTCATTGTGGTTTTGATTTGCATCTCCCTTATGTTAAGGG